TCTCATCTCTACCGTTTGATAAACTAGTATTTTAAGAAAGATCCTAATTAAGGTAACATGAGTTCGTCAAGCACTTGTAGAATACAGAATTTGAAATTAGATGAATGTGAAATACCGGAAGAAGAAGGTCGTTCGCTATACCATCGCGACGGAGATCTGCGACGGCTGAATCTGGATCGATGGTTCCACTTTCCCATTCGATAAATCTCAATCGACGTTGATTTGACTTTCGAGAAGCTCGGAGCAATTTGGGGAGAGAAGAAAGTGAAGCTGGTGAATTGGAAACTGCAGGGAGGAGGAAGAAAGTGAAGTCGGTGATGTGGTGTCTATTCAACTTCCGGTTTCTGTAACGGCCCGAATTTATTACGTGTGGGCTATAAATAGGCCCAATAGAATAAGCATAGTGAGCGACTTTAGAACTTTATATTAATTGGGCTGATAAGAATATCGAAGCAGCTACAATTGGTTGGAAACAAGTTGTTTTTGTTTGGTAACATGATTTTTTTTTTTTTTGATAAAGAAGGTAACATGATTTTGATAACCATTTTCCCTTTTACGAAAATAACAAAGATAAAAAAAAAATCGAAATTAACTCTACAATTACAACTAAAAGACTAGAGACACAAATCGAACCCGAAATTAACAAAGGAAGAAGTCGGGGGCGGGACAGACAAAATTAAACTTCGAAAAAGGGATTTGCTCGATCTGAAAATGCATTTTTCCAACCGCACTCGTAATCTTGTGAGCTATGTTGTAAGCCAGCCTTCAAAACTTAGATCGAAGAGCCTACATTTTCTCCATATACAAACCGTCAAAAAGAACACACAAAAAATAACTAAATTCGGAAATTTATTAGTCTTAAGACTAAGCTAGCGGCTTAAGAAAAGCCGGTGTAGGAGTGTGAATCACACCGCGCGCAGCAAAGTTAAGGACATCGATAATCTTTTTGTACCTTATGGGTTAATTAATCTCATAAAGTCATAGAGAATATATGAATTTCTTAATTTGAGTGATTTTGGTGAAGGATTTGAGATAGAAAACATATTTTGAAGACACATTTATAAATAAAATAAAAGACTACAAGTTTTATTAATTTGTTATCTAAAAGTCGCCACTTGTTTTATTTTTAAAAAGCTAACCTTATATTTTGTGATACGAGTATATTAGAACTGAAGGTGACAAGTCGACAAAAGAAAATATTGCATCTTCTGGATATGATTGGGTTGAAATGGAAAGTGAACACATGAGCGTATGATTAACGCGATATCAACTCAATTAGGTATTTCATACTTGCTTAGACCTAATCAACCCATTATATATACATTACTGAAGAACATGCACTACGTAAAACATGTACGTTATACTACCAAAATGATTGATACGTGACATTTTTAGGGTAGAAATTTATCGAGTTCTTGCAAATATTTGGACCAAATCTAAACACAAAGGTTGTGTTCCCGAGCTCCAACAACTTGTGGAAGGCAACTTTATTTATCTGGAAATTACAAAAGAATTATGATAAAAAAAAAGTTTGTTTAACCATTTTCCTTTATAAAGAAATAACACCCTTTCGTTTCTACCGAAAGCGAACAACAATTATTCAAAAATATATTGAAAATTTTCAAAAAATGTCATTTTTCAAGTGCCACGTTACAAAAATACCACATTATACCATATTTTTTAATTTTTTACAAAAATGCTATTTTTTAAAAATTATTTTTTTTTATATTATTTATGTTTGTGTTAAATATGTTCTATTAAGGTTTAGTTATGAGGGTTTATGGGGGTTTATGGGTCAAAACATTT